GAACACACAGCAGGAAGGTAAAGGGTTAGTTAGAATCAGATATGAGCACTGTTAACAACAACAACAAAAAGATACGAGCATTGTTCCCTGCCCTCACTACCCCTTTGCAGGTGACCCTTATAATTTTTTAAGTTACCTGTAAGGCATTATCCCCCTTTTACAGATGAAAAAAAATCTGGTTCTGGAATTTGGATCTTGTCCTGACTGGAAAATCTGAAGTCTTTCTACCACAACATACTGACTTTCAGTGGCTTTAAACTGTTACTGCAGCCTTCAAGGACTAACTGGAAATCATGTCTGACATATGAAATGGTGTAAAACACAGTGTGTTCTGGGATTGTTTCAGTTATAATTGACATACAACATTATATTAGTTCCAGGTACAAAACATAATGATTCAATATTTGTATATGTTGAGAAATGACCCCCACAATAAATCTAGTTAACATCCATCACCATACATAGTTACAATTTTTTTCTCCTGTGATAAGAACTCTTAGCAACGGTAGCTACCATGTCATACATTACCTCCTCATGACTCATTTCTTTCACAAATGGAAGTTTGTACCTTCTGACCCATTTCACCCCACCCCACCCTACCCCTACCCCTGGCAACCACCAGTCTGTTCTCTGTATCTGTGAGCTCATTCCTTTTCTTTTTTTAAGACTGTACATATCAAGACAGTGAGATCACGTGATATTTGTCTTCCTCAGACTTATTTCACTAAGCATAATGCCCTCAAGATCCATGTTTTCTCAGATGGCAAGATTTTCTTCTTTTTATGGCTGAATAGCATTCCAGTGTGTGTGTGTGTGTGTACATACCACTATTTTTTTAATCTATTCATCCATTGATGGACACTTGGGTTGTTTCCACGTCTTGGCTGTTGTAAATAATGCTGCAGTGAACATGGACGTGCAGATACTTTTTCAAGTTAGTGTTTTTGTTTACTTCAGGTGTAAGAAATGGTATTGCTGGATCATATGGCAGTTCAATTTTTAAGTTTTTAAAGAACCTCCATACTGTTTTCCACAGTGGCTGCACCAGTTTACATTCGCACTAACAATACAGGAGGAAAAGTTCTCTTTTCTCTACATCTTTGCTGACACTGTATTTCTTGTATTTTTGCTGATGGCCATTCTGACAGACGTGAGGAGATATTGTGGTTTTGATTTGCATTTCCCTGATAAATAGTGATGTTGAGCGCCTTTTCATGTACCTGTTGGCCATCTGTATGTCTTCTTTTAAAAAATGTCTACTCAGATCCTCTACCCATTTTTCATTCGGTTATTTTTTTGCTGTTGAGTTGTATGCACGATGTATTTCTTTGTACTATTCTTGAATTACAGTCAGCTCTAAGTCTTAATTTTTTCTTTCCAAGAAAAACATTTTGGACTCTTTTCCTTAATGACATTAAGGAACTTCCAAATACCTTCTAGATAATCACACTGAATTTTTGCAACTATACCCTAAAACCCTAAGTTAATATTTATATTGCTTATTTTTCAGGTGTGAAAATGAAACCAAATTCAAAACAGAAGAAGTATTTTGGGCTTACAATTTCTGCCCTACTCCATACTCCTGGACTGCACTGCTTGGCCTTATTTTATATCTTGTTTTCTTCGCACCAGGTAAGCAAAGGCTTTGTTGTTATTATCGGTGTGTTAATTAAATTGTCTGTTTTTAGATGAGGCAGGCTAATCTTTCTTCAATTCCTTATGTACTACCTTTCTGAAATTTATAATTTTGTATTTCTCAGGAATGGGACCGATGCCTTGGACTGTGAATTCTGAAATCTATCCCCTGTGGGCAAGAAGTACAGGAAATGCATGTTCATCTGGAATAAATTGGATTTTTAATGTCCTGGTTTCACTGACGTTTTTACACACAGCAGAGTATCTTACATACTATGGTAAGAGAATATTTTCTCCAGCTCTAGCTTCATTTTTGTTTTCCTTGTCTCTTTTTAGATATGCTGTCATTTGTGATTAAAAGGCTAGCTGGTTATATTTTTGCTATTATATATATATTTTGCTATTTTATATTATATATATATTAGATATATATATATACATCTAAGTGGCTTTCTTATTCCCCAAAGTCCTTGGAAATGTTTCTGAGAAAAGATAAGAGGAATTCTTTCCTAAGCACCATTGCTTCTTGTCCCTCAGTGCTTTAGAACCTTCACCTACCCACCTACTCTCCAGATCCAGACGTCTCCCAGCCATCTCCCTAGTTGGAAATCCTCACAGCAAGACCTTCAGTTGAATGAGAAAAGACATAAACAACAGAGAGTGGTAGAAAGATGCAAGAGTCTAGTGACCCTTGACGACGTCTCCTGACAGATAAGAGTTGTGTCAGTGCGGTATCAGAGCAGGGTTGAAATTAGCCCCTCCCAGATGCGCTGTGAGCTCTGTCTTCCACTGAAAGACTGGGTCTTCCATGCTGTTCAGGCCGAGACCAGCACTTTCGCACTGCCGAAACTGTAGCCGTGACAAAAGGGTTCAAGTGAAAATGTGTGGAGACCTTAACTCAAAGAAAATAATATTGAAAAGTGACCAAAGAGGGGAGGGTATAGCTCAAGTGGTAGCTTCCACGAGGTCCTGAGTTCAATCCCCAGTACCTCGTCTAAAAATAAATACATAAATAAACCTAATTACCTCCCTCCCCAAAGAAAAACAAAACAAAACAAAAAAAAACCTGAATTAAACTTTAAAATAAAAAACAAAGCGACTGAGTTAGGAAACACTTTGGGAAGGTACCTGAAGTGCATTTTTACTAAAATGAAAAGACTTTGTCTTTTTAGCAAGAAGATTTCTTTATTATCTGTATGAATGTATAGGTCATGATTGGATTCTAAATGACGGAAGTAGGTTTTCATTCTAACCTTCTCATGAACCTCTGTGACGTACATGGACTGCCTGCCGCTTAGACCATTAAAGCCCCTTCCTCATCCTTCCTCACCTCACCTCATCCCACGTCCTGCCTACTCGTATTTCCTTTTTCTAAAAACAGGTTTATTTGTCGGCTCCCCTACTCCACCCCTCACTGCTGGACCATAAATCCTTCGAGCTTC